TAGAGTAGCAAATAGCATTTAATTTCTTCCAGCAATTTCAATGTTTGAGAATAATCAAAAGTGACCTGCATATTATGTATTCACATTGTCTTTAACACCTACTGGCTTAATTGAATCATTTACTTTCCCTTTAGGGAATGCTCAGCATGTAATCAGGTTTCCCTGTAATCTTGTTGGATATAATCACTTCGACCCCATCCACAGCTTAATTAAGATAAAGGGCTAAAAATTGTGAAAATTAAAGATTCTCAAAGAATTCACTATAAGGCCACATTTTCAGCATTAAAGAGAGACCAACATTTTTTAAGTCAAGGTGTAGTCTGATCGTCCGGGTGAGTGTAGTCCTGAGAAGGACTGTTGTCGGTGGTAGTGACTGACGTTTCGACAACCTGTGTCGAAACGTCAGTCACTACCACCGACAACAGTCCTTCTCAGGACTACACTCGCCCGGACGATCAGACTACACCTTCACTTGTTATCCCCGGGTTCAAACCATTTACTGCATTTTTTAAGTCACTTGCCTCAATTGGATATTCAACAATGCTCAGACCATTACGGGACTTTTTAGTCAGCAAAAAGCCTGGTTGACCATTACATTTAAATCGGATCAAGAAGGCTCCACTCTTTTCACTTTGCAGTAACTTTTTGGCTTCTTTTTCCGTTGTATATCCAGCAAACCAGCTGAGGAAGAGAGAACGGTTAAATTTGTGTGATTTTCGTTGTAGAAGATTTTACAACTCTAGCTCACAAAATGTGCTTGCTAACTATAACACGTACCTTTGTTGGCTGAATTGACAAACTTTTTTTTCTTAGAGGGAGGCAGTTTAATATGACTTAATTGTACTTTTCTACCCTTGCAATTCAATGATGAGTAATGTAAAGCAATCATGCTAAAAGTTTGGCGACCCAAACTTAAACTAATTTAAGGCACCACTGTGAGTGAGAGTTATAATTAGCTAATATTATTTACCTTGTTCTTGTACCATCAGCATCAACAGAAACTGATTTTGTCATCAGATGGAGCATCTAAAGGTTACAATCACAGTTAAGTGTGAGATCTTTTGATTGTGCTCTTGGCATATTCCTCTTTTAGCTTTGAGCCAAGTTTTTTTTAAAAAGAGGTACTGTATGCATTTCTTGAAGTTTGACAACATTATAGCAAAAAAAAAAATCATTGTGACAAGCCTAATATTACAGGGCAAAATTTATTATGGTAACAGTTACACAGTACTTTGGTTTCATCACTTGGAAATTTGTTTCATCTCTGACACTATGCAACTTTAGAGGTTTGGTATTTAGTTTGTAAAGTGAAATAAAATGTTTTCATTCCTCCATTGATCCATAGGTCTTGTCAGGTTTTTTTTTTTTTCCTTGCATAGTAGACAACATTCATTACATGTGCAACGGTGAGTCATCATAACAATTTTGTTTTCTTCTGCAATACTGCTCATGATACCCGGCCGCGATGATAGGATTGTTAATAGTACATGTAAATCAAATGATTTAATTGTCATCACTGTCATAATTTCTGTTGTAACCATTGATATACTATCAAGAATAAGGTAGTCATGATTGTAATGATAACATATGTACTTAAAGTGTATTTGTGTGAAACTGAAAAAAATATGTGCAATCAGTCTTGAGTCAAGCACTCAGGTCACCACAAAGGGATGAAATTGCAGTGAAGAAATGAAAAATAACAACCAGTGGACATATACTGGTTTGTATGCAGGAAACTCTGTAATTGCTATATTTTGTGTTGAAAAGATAGTATTCAATATGTACTTTTGGTTTACTCTTTTTAAAATTGTTGGCACCTTTTACTCTTTTCTTTTACCTTCTTTAGGCACCCTTGCATTCCTTCATTAGGAGATCCAAACCACACTGAAAGTCTTATGAAGTTATGGCGATAGACAGTTGCGTATTCTCTCTTATCTAATAATTTGTAAGTACAACAAAAGCATTTTAATTTTAGTACAGGGTTAAGGTATTAAATGGGAGATTTAGTGGCCTAGTGGTTAACAAACTTTCCCTTACAGCACTGTACATGTAAGAGGTCCCAGGTCAACCCTTGGTGCACTGACGACCACAGAGAGTATGGATGCTGCAGGGAACAGTCAGTGATGCCTAACAACATGTGGTGTGTAACCTGCAGTAGACTATAGCAACCCATCTGGGGGGTTCCACCATTTTCACCATATCAAAAACAGTTTTTATTAACTGAGAAGGAAGTAACTATAATTACATTTTTTTGAAGTAATAAATAATTTTTTCGTTATAATTATGCCTATTTGCACCTTCTTGAAAGCTAGGCAGTTTGACTGGAAAATGTCTGCAATTATAACATAACCAAAGTAAAGTGCACACTCTGATGGGTCAATTTAGCGTCCCCCATTTGCCCATGGGTGTACGCTGCTGACGTGAGCAAATGCAAAGACTATTTTTCCACGCACGCTTGTTTTTTCTGGTCGTGTAAGATTTGTTAAATAAAAGGGAACTCTTTACCTACAATGTAGCAATGTTATGTTATAAAACAAATGGTAAACACCACAGCATACACTATTGAGTTATGGATGCACTTGGGAGGTTTGCTAAGCACTCAAGAAGCTAGAGTCGCTCTCGGCTATCGCCTTGAGCGACTCTTACGCTTCTTTCGTGCTTAGGAACCTCCCGCATGCATCCATAACTCAATAGTGTATGCTGTGTTGTTTACCATTTGTTAATTTCACTTTGTCATGGCAGAGATGTATGTTGTCAGCATACAAAGTGTACATGTGCCCAGAAAATTAATCTTTTTTTGATGTTTTGGTTATCTTGCATGGCATAGTAAGTGACAGTTATTTTTTTAGCTAACTGGAGTCCAACTTAGTTGATATAACCAAATTACCTTGTTACCCCCACTGATGCAGCACCACAGCTTCTTTCGAAACTTACCCCCCTTAGACATGTGTTAAATATATTGCCTATGTACTTTTGAAGAAGTTCAATGTAAATTTACAAGATTATAAACTTCAGTCCTTACCATACTCGACCACGAGGACATACATTAGAAATTTTAACAAGGCAATTCCTCCAAGCTGTAGGTATTCTGAACATGTTTCCTTAACAGCACTTTCAAAGTCATTCCAACTCTATATGAACAGATTTCAGGATAATGTCATGTAACTATGCAATTGTTAGTATTTCTTTTAGCCATGTCATGTTTAGTATTTCCTTTAGCCATATTATGTGACACTTAAATTTGCAAACATAGAGAGAAGCTAGAGAACCTGTATGTGTACAGTGGAGCCTCGATTTAATGAACCTCTATTACAGTGAAGTCCTCGGTATAACGAATGATACTTCATTTTCAGCCCGGCTAAAGTTATAGTGAAATGTATGCCACAGAACCTCGATATAACAAACTCTCAAAATAACGAACCCATTTCCCCAGTCCTTTTTGGCGCTTCATTAAATCGAAGTTCCACTGTAGTTTTTTTTTTCTCCCTCTGGTGGTCATGCATGCATGTATCAAAAATGGATGCCACGTAAACAAAACTTACTTAATGCATGTAATATTACCACATAACTGGAGAAATTGACTGTACTTGAAATATACTTAAGAAAGTGTATTTTATTAGTATGGGTACAAAATGACTAGACTGACATGGTATGAATCAACCTAGCTGGGTACCTTAAATGACTGAGTATGAAATAACTGTGGGCACAAAATGACTTGTAACCATTATTACTCTCCAACTACGATACAATATCACATATCATGCAAGTGATGAATTGGATTGAAGTTCCAAAAAAAAATGGCTGACAGTTAAAATCATTTTTCTGAAGACGATTGCGAAGAGTCGGAATGGCTGGTGAATATTGATCCAAGTTAATATATTATAGATAAGTCGAATATGACAGGGAAAGTTTATCATTTATTGAAGCAAATTAATAGAAACAGCAACACAACAATGCACCAATTCCTTTCCACTTTGCACACTTCTGTCTTGTACTTCCCGTAAATAAATATCCACGAGATTTGGCTGCACTGAAATAACAATTTGGCTTGTTGGATAATAGATAGATAGACAGACAGATAGACAGTTTATTTGAAAAACATTGCAACCGAAGGTTGAATTACGTATTCATTTACAAATTAAGAAATATATAAAAATGGTAACATACTTTTAAAATATTAAAAATTAGGTTACATAGAGTCTGCTTATACAAAGCGTGCGTAAATGATGAAAGATAAAACTATCATGGCACCTGTTCGTACGAACCACAGGTAAATTAAAAGCACACTTTTTCCTTAAGTCCACCCTAGATACATTCCTGGGCGGCAGGAGCTTATGCAGCTTGTGATTTGGTGCAAGAACGTTAGAAAAGAGCTAAATAAATAACTTATTAGAAGTTTTGGTGTGTTGCATTTCTGAATATTTTTACTAATTATTTGTATTTTGACTTGCCCTTATGGGCTCTTCAAATTATGGCACAACTTGGTGAAGGGAGATGACAAAATGCGCAGCCCTACTCCATGGAGTACCCTATGGAGTACCTTAATTGAGTACCCCTAAAAGTCATTTATTGGTCAAATAAAATATTTTATGAACATGGTGAATGGTTTAGATGTACATATCCTAAAATATATTGAGCTTACCAGCTCTCCGAATGTCACAGTTCAATCCAGTTTTTTGGGGGACAGTTAATTGACTAGGGCTCTCATGAGTCTTACTGGTTCCTCCATTTTGGTTTTACCGCTGTGTAATGAGTCCTTTGACGAGAAGACAAACAACTCCATGTGATGAACAGAACCCACTGTTTCGATTTCTGCACGAGGCAAAATATATAAGCTTACTGCATTTCCCAGACCAAGAAACCCCAGTCGGATTTATTTGCCGACCCGTCACTGTTTTTTTTTTGGTTTGTTTTGTTTACATACCTCAATTTTATTGCACTACAAATAGATGGGTGAGGAGAAACTCAGTTTAAAGATATGGATTACCTTTTTAAGTCTCAACCTACAAATTTAAGCTTGTATCCTCATCGTTTCGCACATTTAAGAAACCCATCAGGCCATGTGTTACTAGATGGAGCGCCACACTTCTTACAGACGCCACACATAAACAGGTATTTTGGAAGACGTAAAACCCATTGCAGAATGAAGGTTGTCCCTCCTTTTGGCCTCTTATAGAACATATGAAAATAGATGGTAGTCGGCCGATTCACGATAACGCTCATGGATCCTAGCAACATTAAAGCTTTCCGTTGGTCCGGAAGTGGTCAGCAGTTTAATGTTAATTTCAAGATGGGGGTCAAATTATTTGTGTACTACATCGAACTGCGACAATCGGAGAGCTGAAAAGCTCAATATATATCAGGATATGTACATCTAAACGATTCACCATGTTCATAAAGTATTTGTTTGACCAATAAATGACTTTTAGGGGTATTCCATCCAGGTACTCCATAGGGTACTCCATGGAGTAGGACTCCGCGTTTTGTCATAAAAAATTATCTCCCGTCAATTCGTGTACCACATTGAACTTCGACAATCGGAGAGCTGACAAGCTCAAAATATATCAGGATATGTACATCTAAACGATTCACCATGTTCATAAAGTATTTTATTTGACTAATAGTCCATTTTACAGTTGTGTGCTTGGTTGCCAAGCCTTTGAATGGGAGTGAGGCTAGAGATGACCTTGTTATGATACAAACCTTGCTGCCTTTCAAATGTAAATCACTTTGTTATCATGCTAACTAGATACAGGTCTCTATCACAACAAGGTCATCTTTAGCCTCACTCTGAATCAAAGGCTTGGCAACTAAGTACACAGCTGTAAAATGGCCTATACATGATTTTTAGGGGTACTCCGTTCAGGTACTCCATTGGGTGCTCCATGGAGTAGGGCTTTTGTCATCTCCCAGTTGTAAAAACACTCAGTGATAGTACACAACAAAACATCGAATAAGATATGTGTATGACCTCAGGGCATCAATGTTTTTAAAGTTATCTTAGTTACATATATTGTGTACTGCATATAAATCATCATACTGAGAAGATTTATTGTTTAGATTTTTTGTCATAAGGACCATATGGGTAGGGATTAGGGGACGTTATTTTCAGTTTTACTCATTAGAGGTCAACCCAAGATTTATTTGAACTTTTTTTTAAGTTTTGGGAGTGCTCACGGTCAAAGGCTTTTCATTGTTGAACCTGTATGTAACATATCTAGGTGCTTTTTTTAACTTAATTGTTTTGTAGGTGGAATTTGTTATTCTATCCTACATTTCTGGTATTTTATCGCTGCAGTTATTATATGGCAGATCTATTTTGAAATTGAAAAAGTGTAGGTTCAAGAGAATAATTAATATAGTGTTGGAGTTTTGCTTAACTGGAAGGAGTAAGCAGGGAACCAGTGTAGAAGACATTTATAGGGATGCCTATTTTGTGAAACTCACTCTAGCAATGAAAGTAAATGATTACCTTTTCTTTCGGACCACCTTTGATAGGCAACCAGAAGTCAGACAGTCCATTATTTGCTTCCTCGTGATCAAGGAGCTGATCCTCTGTAAAGAAGATGATCAAAGTGTTACTTAATTGACAAGTGAAGAAATCAGAGTCATGCAGGAAAAGCTGTCCCTTAATCATATCAATGCATGTAGGTACTTGCTGACTTGTAATTTAAATAAAATATGATGCACATTTACTGCAATTAATGTCTCAAATGAACACCTAGTCATGCACAGAGATGGTACAAAAAAAACTCCAGACTCAATTTACAAAGTGAAACACCTGGTGTTTTTTAAGGTGCCTTAAAACCAGTAAATTTATTGATTTTCTTTAAGCAGCAGTATAACTTAACAAAATGCATAATGCACATCTTCTCTAGTAAAACACTCATAGGTCACAACATCTGTTTTCTGTTGTTTGTCAAAATTGAAGTCATTTTTACTCTCACTCAGCTTCTCCACCCAGAATTGTTTCAATAAATACAAGCAAAATGTCAGGAAAATCTGATGAAATGCTGAAGTGGGGGTGAAGGTGGCACTGTTATGGTGTGGTATCCAATCCAGGGAAAGTAATCATACATCCTCTGTAGTTCTCTCTTGTTACTGAGACACGGGCAAGTTCTATCAATTATATAGACCAATATAGAAGTATTGGACTGAGCAGGAAAAACTAACCATCTGTTGTACTGCTGGCCATAGATGAAATTTCATCACTATCTGTTTCTTGGCCTTTCTTGCCAGTGAAGGGACTGAAGTCAAGGAGATCTAAAGATTGAACAGCTAGCATGGTCTCCAATTTTTGTTCAGCCCGCTTGCGTCGTGATCTCTCTACTTCAGCCAAAATCTGAAAGCTCTTTTCTTGGGAGGTGGTCCGAGGTTTTTGAAAGAAATCAGTTTGAGGGTCAGATGAACTGCGTGGTCTCTGCTGAACCTTACTGAAAGTTTGATTAACTGTGAAAAACAATTAAGCATGTAGATAATGAAAATTACACAGAAACATTCTCCAAAAAATATTTTTATTAAATATATAATTATTATTTAATCTGGCCACATTGAAATCAATTAGGTTGCTGATGGAAAGGCACAAAATGCTTGCAGTAAAAAGCACATGCTACACAAAAAAAGGCAAATCAATTATTATATCATTCTGAAATTTCTAAAATCATTGTCTTCAGGATTTTACCGAATACGTTAACTGTAATATCCCTAGAGGTTTTTCAGGATCCGAGTGATGTCAATTTTGTTTGTTTGTTTTTTTCTTTTTTCAGTTTTAGAATTCATGGGGTGCGTAGGCTTTTCAGGAGAGCCTGATTGAGTTGACAACCTCTTTTTTTGGGGGGGGGGGAGGGGGTGATGCATGAGATTAATATTGGTTAACCAAAATGATACATTCTTCTATATACCTGTAAACAAGGACTACCTTGCTAGCTGTATTCTTTTGTTTGGACTGTTTGACACCAGCTGTCAATTATTATACAGTTATATCTATGAGAGAATGTCTAGTGAAATTGTAATCTTTGAAGGCCTGAATAGCTCTCCATTTCAAAATTAAAAAAAAAAGAAATATTTTTAGATTGTAATTTTGGCTATAATGGTTTTTCATGTGTTTATAATTTGTAATCTTTGAAGGCCTTAACTCTCCATTTCAAAATTGAAAAAAAAAATAATTATTTTGAGATTGAATTTTGGCTAATGGCTTTTCATGTGTTTAATTCTGAAGATCAAGACCTGAGGATTAGATTTCAACCATTTTTTCACACTGATTTTTCCCTCTGATCCCATTTACCCCCTCACGGCTGTGCTAGAACCAGCTTACCCTTTAGTTTAGCAACCATTAGCTCCAAACAAGCTTCACGGTAAATATTCTCATCTAGAGTTACACTCATTGTTATCTCTTGGCCATCTGCTAGTGCTTTTAGTTCCTCTGTGATCAAAATATCTTTCAATGCTTCTAGAAGCTTGCCACTCTGATAATTTTGCCACAGTTCCTGTAGCCCATGCAGGCAGATAATTTGCTTCTAACACGCAAATGATAGAACCTTCGCAAAGGTACTTTATCAGTACTCCTGAGGGAAGAACCACTGATGCGAACAAGCCAGCCAGAGTAACAGGATCATTTATGTACCTCTTGAGGATATAGAAAGTTCCAGCAAACCAAACACCTTTTGAGGCCAACTTAACAACAATGTGTAGAGAAATTTCTACATGGAATAAATTGTTAAAACAAAGCGACACATCACCTGTTGTCATAAGCCTCAGTTGAACCATTAATAATGGCTTTACAATTTATTGTAGATTCTTGGTTGTTTTTGGTCTGCATGATACAGTAGGAATTTGGGCCTCAACATTTGGGGATTGCACTCTAAGGCTGGGTGGCTCAAAACAAATTTACTTCAACTGCAAGGCATACAGGAAAGTATATTGAAGCCATTCCTGGTGTAGCCATTAAGAATGCCTGTCCCCCCCCTCCCCCCAGAGCTCTAAGTGCAATTGTAAGTTCTGATGTAACTTTTAAGTCAATTTGGTTTATTTCCCCAGCTCTGTTTTTTTTTTCTCCCGGCCTCTCTGAGATCCAACATGTTAGATTGAAAATTAAAGGTTCCTTGACCTCTTCTGTCTTCTGTGGGTTGAAAGGCTGTATATATTAATACTTTTATTTTTCAGGTAGCAGGTTGCTTCTGAGAAAAGGAACATCCCATTCAGAAGCAAAGCAAAATCCAAGTCACTTTAATAGGCCTAGATGCTAACAGTAGCAATTTATCAACTGAATTAAGGCAAATACAGTTTACCTCCTGGCTCTCTTCGATTTGGACGACAATGAACTACACAAGGACATCTCTTTTGTAACCTGAACTTCTCTTCATCCACTTGCCGTCCTCCTGAAAATGTTCATTGGACCAGTAAAATCATTCAGTGTTGTACTAGGTGATAACTGCATGATTATTTTTATGTTTTCAATAAATCTGTTTCAAGTCAAAGATAACCATAGTTGCCATCATTAGAAAGCAGTTGGGATAAATTTTAATACATATAATAGGGTTAATTTCATTGTGTACTTTGTTGTCTAGTGTGATCACAATGATATTATATAGATAAGACTTACTATATATGAGACACTTGATTGGTCAAGAGCATTCAATCAATATACAATGGCCTGTGAAGTTGATATATAACACCCAATACCTGCTGCAGATATTGCAACTATCGATAATGTGAAATACATGTAAGACAAATTCAAAACTGTTAAATAGTTTATGAAAGTGTTCAAGTGTCTTTTTAATTCAAATATTTGTTTCTTTTCTCTTTTTCCTTAATTCTTAACTCCATACTAATGAGATTATTATACACAACCAATTCAACTGCTTATCACTTTTAATGACACTGATACTGTACTCTAGGCTCCTAGACCTGCCATAATGGATAGAAAAATGTAGGGGGAGGGGGGTGATCAGGAGGATAAGCAAGCTTTTGGTAAGATCTTGGATCGGTTATGTGGGGCTCCAGGCTGTCGAGGAATCTCTACGTACTCCACAAGACTGTGAACAATCTTCTTTTGAAACAGATTTATGATCGACGAACGCCGTTGACGTCCTAACAGTTTCTCTTTACAACAGCTCAAAACAATCTAACAATCGATCTGTAACAATCTGACAATCTTGAACAATCTTAAACATCTGACTTAGACTACGATCTACTACGGTGGTATCTTCCCATAATCCCGAGTACAGTATAAGTGATATTTACTAGGAAATTCAATTTATGGATTAATACGCAACTTGTATTCCCCGACACACGCAAGAAGCCAAGACACTCACCTAATGCCTTCTTTTTCAATGCTCCTGTGTGATTAAGAAGCTGATCCTCTCTGCTTTCTTCCATCACTAAGCATTCGACCGCGGTATCGTTGAAATCTTGACGGTATCTTGGCTCTTTTCGTTGTTCCTTTAGGAACAACAACACAAGTTCTCGTCGTAAATTAACGTCGTTCACTCTGCCTGCTAGTTCCAAACACCTGACGTTCTCTAGTAGTTCCCTTAAAAATGATAGATTGTCTATGTCCATCTTTTTTAGCCTTTCAAGCTCTTTAAAGAGTTGCAAGGGAGAGGTGATCGTTTCTAGTTTTCCTTCTGAGATACAATCCATACACAGGTACTTCATTTCTTCCAACTGTTCTTTTGTGATGTCTTCTGATATCCTGAGAAGAAACGATCTGTGGTTTAATGTTTCCATTTCCTCGCCCCTCGCTGGTCATGAAGTCAAACAGCTCCAAAATTAAGAGTTGAGAGAGAAATCTTAACCGATAACAACAAACTACGGGGAAACGAGGAACTGGAAAGTTGCTTCAGGGTTTTCCCCTTTGTGTTATATTTACCTATGACGTCACGAGTGTCTGTTCACATAATAACATAGACGGCTGCGCGGCTGGAAGTACCCCCCGTGATGTTTCTAAAAGTAGCTTGTGTCGTTTTGGGAAGCTAACAGTACAAAGATTAAAAAACGGAACCCCAATGTATTTCAGTGAAAAATTGATCAAACGCCATTTTCACTTGAGGCAAACTACACCGAACACAACGAGGATGCACTCCTCTCAGGGCTTCCAGGCGGCACGCACATCTCTCTACAAACTTCCACTGGTCCGTTACCTTATCGAAAACAATAGTAAGTTTCACACGAAACGGCTACGCTGTAACGTTTGAGTCAAATCGCCACCGGTAGCAATTTGACCCTAAGTAGTGGCGAGTTTTGTGATGGCAGGTTTGTTGTTGTGGCGAATTGACCGAACTGACCGGATTCCTAAACAATATATGAATGCACAGCAGCTAAAAGGTTTTTTCATATCACCCACGTTTCGGAAAAGTGGTGAGTGTTAGCAGGGGCGGATCCAGGAATTCTTGATTGGGGGGGTCCAAGCTTTGGTTCAGAAACGACTATTGGACTCTTTTGAGGCAAATTACTTCTCCCCAACACCCCCCACACCCCCTCCCACCAGTCCCGATTGCACTTTATAATTCCTTGGCCGCTTACAAATATACCGTTTACTTGGATTCATTAATTAAAAAAAATCAGCCAGTTAAAAAGTGATATGCGATCCTGTCGATGTAAGAATTTCATTCTCAAAGTTGTAAGCGTCGGGTCTGATGGGTGGGTCCGGATCTTCCGGACCCTCCCCCTGGATCCGCCAATGGACTGTTAGGTAGAAGACAGAGAAATCTGATGCTCATGACAATCTTTATTCAATCACGCAGTAAGATACGAAAGTGTAGTGTGATCGTTCGGGTGAGCGTAGCCCTGAGAAAGACTGTTGTCGGTGGTGGTCACTGACGTTTCGACAACTTGTGTGGAAGTCATCATCAGAGTCGAGGTCAGTGAGAGATGTTAACTAGTGAACTTTCGGTTGTGAACGTTTTACAAGGGCACACTTGATGAAAAACTCTTATCATGATCATGAGAGCAAATGTTATCATTCCATTTTTAAAACGGAATGCTTTTTTTTTTCTCGAGGAGGGCTTTCTAAACCGTCAATTGCAAATAGGTTCGGGGCAATTTGCATGTTTACGGCTCAGCAGTTCAAGTTCTGTTTGCGAGAGGTTTTATCGGCTTAGACACAAGTTTTCCGGCTCGTGACACATAGGGAGATGGTTTTCTCTTGCAAAATTTTTTCCGAAGTATTTTTAGTTCTGAAGATACTGCAACACCAATATTGCTTTGACCAGATAAATCCAACATCTTAATATTAAGTATTTTCAACTTATTTGTCTAACTAAGTGAAGCGTTAAAACAGGAAACGAACGAATATTGTTTCTTTCCGGTTAAGCAATCTTGGTGAATGAACAATCGACATTCATGTTTCTGTTGTCAATGTTATGTCAGTTGTTTGCGACGGCAAATCTTCTCACATCTTTACCAGGATAAGCTGTAACAAAGAGTGTCAATTGGCAGCTGTAAGTGCTATACTTATATTTGAACCTCACCCGGAATTGATCATGTTAACTCAGCAATTGTTCGAGGGATAAATGTTATCACCGAGTAACTCGAAGCCAGTTTTACCGTCTTCTTCACTTACAACTGAGCTATTTTGCACCTATTGGTGATAAATGCCTTTGGTGGAAAAATTGAGAAAGGTGCTTGTTAACGGAAATATGACGATGGTATGGCAATGCTGTTCTAATGTACAGCAAATAGCTGTCTTCCCCAACTTACGAAAGACAATTGGAGATAATTTTACAATCGATCTCTTGGAATTGCTATAGATTAAAAAGGATAAATAACTGAAAAACTTGAAGGGTTTTTCTTCATTTGTTTCTTCTTCAGGTAACCGAATGGACAAGAGTGGTAAGCTGCTCTTTATTAGCCCCTTATAAGCAAACTATATAAATCCAAAGGGTAAGAAACCTTAAAATACTATGTCACGCACATTAATTATTACTTTTGTTTGCGAATATTGACCAGAGTCGGAGGAGAATTTACACAAGAAATTGGCTTCCGATCAGTTTGATGTTATCGCAGAGGCCATCACTCCGAAAACGTTGGGAGATTGTGGTACGAACACCTTGTTGAAGGCATTTGAGGTACGTATCTCTTTTGTTTCATTTGGATTGTTTAAAGTGTT